CCCCAAAACCCCAAAACCCCAAAACCCCAAAACCCCTCACTTCTCATCCACATTGACTGTAAAATCCCTTTACTAAATTGCCAATTTCCTGGTTAAGATTCCTAAATTACTAAATTTCCTTTCAGCTTATTTCTAAGCGGGCAGAGTCTGGAAAAACAGACTTGGAGTAGAGAAAGTGGAGTTTTTGGGATTTTGGGAGGAAGAAGAGGTGGAAGAGGGGTCAATGGTGAGGAAGGGGTTTGGGGTATTTGGAGGGTGGTGAAGGTGGGGAGGGAAGGGAGTGGGGTGAAGAGGTGATGTAGGGGATTTTGGAGAGGTAGAGGGGTGAGAGGGGAGATTTGTTAGGTATGGACTTCAGGTGATTATACTGCTGTTGAGCAATTTTTGTTAGTAAGTTAGTTCATGAATCTTCTTCAATTATATAAACAAGTTTTGCTCCGATGAGAAATAGGTACGAGTCTGAGTAAGAGGATCAAGTAAGGATCTAGGCTCATGAATATTTAGTTTATCAAGCAAATAACAAGGGAAATAGTTTTAACCATGCAAAAATTATATAATTTTTGAAATTCCTGTTTTAAGATTCTGCAGAGGGAATTTTACTTAAACTTCAAACTTTATAATAAAAATATCCGTTTCTTTGGCTTTGACTCGTCTTATATTACCTTGAAATTTGTCAATAAACAAGAAACAACTTCTTCAAAGTTAAAGAGGAATTCTTCGGAATAAAAATTTCTATTACCTCATTTAAAATCTTATAACGGGCTGAATACCAGATACTTACTTTTAATGGCTCGATTACTTTATAATACCAATAATGTTAAGATACTTCCATGAGCCATACTCATGATTTTATGAAGGCTCAACCTCTTCAGTTGTCGATGTGAGTAACTTGTGTTAAAATCCTTCTTCTAATTAACTTATAATGGAGTAACTCAATAATTCAAGTGATCATAAGAGTTAGTGAAGTCCTCTCTGAAACTTAACGAATTAGATATATAATCTTGGAATGACCTCTAAGCCACTGCATCAGATTATAATAAGGTTGCTGCACTAGTTGGAGGATATAGAGCATTTCATGTTTCAACATCTTTCATTATTTCAATTTTCAGATTTTACAAATTCTATTATTTCCAATATAAGGAGGGCAGAGTTCAACAAGCGTAAAATCTTTGAATATGCACAAAACTTTGACAAACCCAGGAAATGATAAGTAGCAGCTAGTTTACAAAATATTATTGTTAATGAATTATTAGGGAGCAAAGACATCCTCCATTGTCACAATTTTATTCGAACATGAAGAAGAGTTATTAGGCTCAACTTCTAATCCTTCGCTTGAGACTAGCTTGTCTGAGGAGCTTTCAGAAGAGTTACGGATCTGGATTGCTCTTTGAAGAAGTCCTTTGATTTCGTCTTGCAAATTTCTTTTCCCTCAGAAGTCATCTTTTCAGGATATTTGTGAGTGTAGTCCTATTGTTTTTATCTCAGATATATTCTTTCAGCTGCGAGCATACTCATCAACCCTCCGTGCTGTGAAAGAGGATCCCTTGATAAATGAGCCTGGACCAACCTTGCTCTCGAATGGAGTGCTTGACATGTTCTTAACCAATTTAGGAGATGTCTTGATAGGAGAAGCGCTCACATTTTCATCAAGCAAGTCATCAGAGAGATTTTCATCTAACTGCTTATAAATATTCATATTTCTTAATAATATCATTCAAACCTCTGAGATCTTTATGAGAGAGGTTAAGTGGGTAACTATAAAATCCAGAATATTTTGCTATAATTAAAATTAACCTAAAAAGACCTGAAATTTAAATAAAAACCTTGCTGATTATATGATAATACAATGCTTGTCGACAATAACGAGAACCTATAAGAAAGTATTCTAAGCGAGAATGCATTCAGGAGATCAGTTAAGACCACAGAGTCAATGAGTAGGAGAATGGGAATGTCTGCTTTTAATGCTTCAAACAACTTTCGTAAGCCTGAAACATCTGATTATCTGAGAAAGAAACAAGAAAAATGTAACAATTTGCTTTCTCCAACTTCCAAAAATGTAACTTGATTTAAAAATTCAAGAATCTCAAACAGAGCCACTTAGAGGACAATGAAGGCTTTAAATGGCTCACTTCGTGATCAAATTAGCTGTTTGCTTCATATATCAGCAGACATAAGAAGGAAGAGCTTGTTAACAGCCTCTAAGGCCCAAGCTTCTGAAATATCAGTAGATGATGTTAAGAGTCCTGAATTATCTTGAGAAATCTTTAACAGTGAAAAACCTTCTAAGGATGATCTCTATACCTTTGGAGTTGGCAATTAACTCAGATATTCATCCATATTTAATTTCTACTATAAACTTTCTGTCAAATATTTTAGAACTTCATGAGCCTTTCTATTTTCTTTTTGGAGAAATATGGTTAAAATGATTATACATTGATCCACACTAATGAGTATCATTCTTAAATGCTCTTTTTAAGTCCTTTACTATTTTTACTAGTTTATCCGGATCTACAAGAAACTAAATTGTCTTCAAATTCTCTATTTAATTTAATACTTAACATCTGTTTTTAATTTGAATGGGCAAATCGAAAATCAGTAGATACCATCCGGATTTATAGTGAAAATAATTCTCCAAGATTCAAGGTAATTGTTATGGTCAGAACTTTAGGCTTATTTTCAGGCTCTTCATCAATATCTAAAAGTAGGAGATAGTGGCTATAAGGCTCTTTGATATTAAAAATTTTCGGTAATAAAATGATTTGGCAAATTAGGAAAGTATGGTATGTTTTAATTATGGCAAGGAGTTACTAAGATTATATATGATATAGACAGTTACATAAAATCTCTTTCACTAATGATTTATATTTTAAACTATTTCTGCGGATTTGTAAAGAAATTTTAGATTCAATGATTACTTTGATTAGAGGGGTTTTGGGGTTTTGGGGTTTTGGGG